GGGGGGGGGGGTGCTCGCTGGGGTCTGAGATTCCCTCACCTCCCCCAAGGCTGAGGCTGGGGCTAAGTGAAGGTTTAGGACAGTTTGTTGGAACCTGCCTGGCTGCTCGTGCAGGGCACCTGGAGGTGCAGCCAGTGGCTGGATGGCCTCCTGTCAGGATGGGGTGAGCCTGGGCAGTTCCCTCCCACTTTGCTCGGGAAAACTAGCCGACTTCCTGTGGAGGATGCTGTTCACACCGCTCTTTCTTTATTCTTCACACTGATTTTCTTTGCGGTTATTTTTACTATTTATATGACTATACAGAGGCTCTGTTTCTCTAAAAGATGGTAGAGCTTAGGAAGTGGAAGTGACCTCAGAGACAAGGGTGTTAAACGTGATGGAGGTTAACAGCCAGACCCAGAGAAGTCTGTCCGGTTTCCCAAGCTCAGCCTTGCAAGCAAGGAAAGACTTGAATGAACTGCCGGCTGAGGAGGGGAGTGGCCTGGTGGACACGAGCACCAGGGGACAGCCGAAGGGAACATGTGTTGGCACAGTGGGGCCACATGACCAAGGCTCCTGGGAGCCAGGAGCAGAGCACCAGGGACCCCGGGCGATCCCTCCCCGTGTGTGGCCAGCTGCCCTGCCCACCTGGTCATCCAGCTTCATCCTTCCTGGCAGCTCTGAGTGCACAGCCCTGCGCTGCACACCCCGGCAGTGGCTCCATGTGGCGTCCCCAAGCTCACAAGCTGCCACACGGGCCTCTGCCCCAGTCCCTGTGCATCTGTGGTATTGCAGATGTCTAGAGGGTGAAAGGGTGAAACGGACTGCTCACAGACTCGCCACTCTGCCTGAGAAGACGACTCTCCTCTGAGCCATACTCCCTTCACGAGCCACTCAGAGGAGACCTGTCCTGGCTGGCATCCACCATGCCCAGGTGCTTTACAGGTTCTAACACTACCTATGTGCGTAGCCTGGGCAGCAGTACCTGGATTTTTTAAAAATCTGTTTTTATTGATTTTAGAGAGAGAGGAAGGGAGAGGGAAAAAGAGAGAGAGAAACATTGATGTAAGAGCAAAACCTCAATCAACTGCCTCCTGCACGCCCCTTACTGGGGATCAAGCCCGCAACCCGGGCATGGGCCCTGACCGGGAATCAAACTGGCAACTTCTTGGTGCATGGGACAGTGCTCAGCCAGCTGAGCCACACCGGCCAGCGCCAGGGCCTGGATTTTAAGGAGCCCAGTAAGAATGTGGCATGAATGTCATCTGGCTGGACAGCATGTGGTACACACCCCGTCCACCAGCATTTCCAGTGAGACTCAGGCCACCCACTGGGGCTGGAGAGCATCAAATCACCTATGGGCAGGGCAAGGGACTCCCGTCAGGGAGCTTCAGAAAAAGATCATCAGGTGCCTGACAGAATGCATGAAATGTGGAAAGATGAAGAATGACAGAGAAAACAGGACCAGAGGAAGAATGAACCTGGAGTTAGGTTGTGAGGTTTCTTTCAGAGCCAAAGGGGGCCCTCAGTCTCCCAAGTTGCCCCCAAACCTCACAGGAAGGAAAGAGCCACCTGCTCAGTAATAAAAGGATCGCTGCACCCTGCCCAGCAAGCATCGTCAAGGACAGGACCCAGTGTAACATGGGGCAGCTGGAGGACCTGGACTGACCCCTGTGCCCCTGCCCAGTTTTCTCAGGACACCCAGCAACACAAAGTCCCTGACCAGAGTTGAGTAATGGCTCCTCACGATGTTTGCCATAGGGCATTGCCAAGGCCTCTGGCACAGCTGGCTGGAGCCTGTCTGCTATCCCCAACTGGCTGCCTACAGCCACATCTGGAATCTCGAGGACGGCCTGGCTCTCTGGACAAAGCAGGACCGTGATGTGTAACGAGGGGCATACACTCCCCCTTGGTGCCCCTATTTGGGTCCTCAGGATTGAACTGTGCACCAGATGTCAGCCCTGCAACCCAGACCCCATCGCCCCATCACGGACCAGATGATCTGACAGAGCGGCAGCTGTGTGGTATGGAGGGTGTTTATGCAGTGGCAACGGCGCCGTACAAGGAATCCCTGCTCCTTCCTCCCATTCTCCATGCCCAGCTAGATCGTGGGCAAAGCGTGGGCTGGGGTTTTTCATGAGAGTTAACAAGACTGGGCACTGATTTATTTGAGGTGGCAGCAGGAAGCCCCAGCTCCGAACCACCAGGGCCGGGATGCCAGCTCGCTGCTCCCTGTTCATATCACATAAGGAGCATGTTGGTAGTGAAGTTGGCTCACTTTGCTCAACTCAGTCTTGCTCAAGAGAATCTTCTTAGACATTTCCCTTGTTCTAGACAAATATTTGATGCTCAGAGATTAAGGGTAGCTGCCACAAACGTCATACTAATGGCAACAGAATATTTTAAAAGTTGGTCAGGGAGCTTATTAGGTGGTCAGAGAGGCACAGCAAACAAGGGCAGGTGAGTGGGGCTGCTCAGGACATGTGTGGCAGGGCAGGAGGGAAGCAAGGGCTGGCTGTGTGAGGGTCAGGAGGACCCATGTGTGTCCTCCTGGCCTGAGGTGACCAGTCCTTAGCATGGGCACTGAGGGGCTGGATGCACAGGAAAGGCATCTGGTCAGCATTGGGGGCTATGGCAGAAGTCCTTGAGCCCAGGACTACCCCCTTCCCCAGGCTGCACCACTGGCTTTCATTGCTCCTCGGGACAGTCCCAAACCAGAAGGATCGTTCTCAATCAGCAAGTCACACAGAGACCCAAGTCCATCTGCATTTATCCAGCCTCCCGTAGGCACCTGAGTTCAGAGAGCTCATAGAAAATTCTGAAATCATTCATGTACTTTGATCTTTTAAAGAGAGGTTCTCCCTCCCTGCTTGCAAAGGAGGAGGGAGGGGCAGATAGCCAGCCCTCAACAGACAACCCCTCAGCCTGTGGTGAGGGACTGGAGTGGATGGAATGGATTGCATGCCCCCAGGGACCTCGGCTGAGCCTCATGCCTCTTGCAGCCTCCGGGTTTTGCCTATGAAATGGGACGTCCTCCACCCCCGGGTCCCTCACAAGTCAGGGTTCCGAGCCCACAGAAGTTGCTGAAGGACTTTGGGGACACCTTCTGACAGCATCTGGCGAAGGCCTAGCTGAAGCCTCGTGTGTCACATTTCCTTAAAGACATACTTGGTCTTCAGAATGGATGACCCCACCTGCAAGTTAGACCCTCTCAGTCATTGGAAGACCTTTGCCCGCCAGCCACCATGACTGTTTGAGTGTTTAAGCATCTTAGGAACACTTCCCTCTGGTACATGCAAACCTGACCCTACTATCAAAGTCAAGTTCCCAGCTTCCAGAGTAGTAATAGACCCAGTACACAGCATGACCAAGCAGGGCCGGGATGAGGCAGCGGGGCAGAGGGGGCAAGGGCTCTGCCCTTCTGAGTGGCCTCTGCAGCCGGCCGGCGGTCCCACCCACAGTCTGTCCTGGTGGGTCTCCCCCTGACCTGCACTCCACCTTACCCACCCTGGCGACTATGGAATGAAGTCAGAACTCAGCCTGTGTTCTTAAGCTTCTTGTTTATTTTTCTCATTAACAATCTGAATTTCCACCAGGAAAAATGTTTTTTTCTTGGTTTCGTTAATGCATTTGTTTGTTAGCTGTGTGTATGGCAGAAAAAAGCCACTGCTGCATGAGGAGAACTATTTCATGGAAGAGCAGCAGTAGATTTGAGCCGAGCAGGACTGACATGTGCCTGTGGCTCACCAGGGAGGGTGGGCGTGGAGCACAAGGCCTGCGCGGGTTCCCCAAGAGGCAGTGCTGCCCCTCAGAGCAAAGCACCCCTCAACCCGTCAACAAACACTCAACCCATGTCCTCTGCATGCCACACAGGGTGAGCAGGCCCTGCCCACTCTAAAGGAGACAGAAAAGTGAGCAGACTTACGTTTGACGGTGCCTCTGGACTCCTGGAAGCCTGCTGCCTCAGAGCCCCAGCCCAGGGCCTCGCAGTCCCTTGCATCCGCCTGCCCGGGCCTGACCCCGGGACTTGGCCCTCCCCGGGCCCTGTCCACCAGCCAGCAGGACCTCCATAGCCCCACACTTCGCTTGCGCCCATCCTCCAGCGTCTGATACACCCAGTTGGGGGTGAAGGCTGCTGCATTGTTGAGGATGAGAGAGACCAGGGCCACCAGCACGGCTGTGGCCACCAGTTTCTGGACAGTCATCACTGACTGCCGGTCCCGACCGCTTGTGGAGAAAGTCCCAGTCCTGGTCAGCTGCTGTGGCCAGGGAGAACCAAGACGCTGCTAGGGGTGGCTAGAGGACATCACCGTTCATTCTTGGAGGGTCGGGAAGGCCCGTGCAGCAGGTGCAGGTGAGCCCACCTCACGGTCCTCCTTACCCTCCTTCCTGCACCTGGAGCAGGGACAGGCCTGATCTGAAGGTGACTGCGTGGCCCATCCCGAGAAAGAAGCAGGGCACCAGTGAGAGCCCAGAGTCCTGAATGCGCCGTCTTCCTGGGAAGCAGAGGCCCAGGGAGGCTGGAAGCCTCTTGTCTCCCACGAGGGAGAACAGAGAGTAACTGGAGAGGAGAGGCAGATGGCAACGTGGTGTAAGCAGGGCCTCACTCCTTAGAACCAGCTAAGCTCAGAGCAGCCAGTGCGGTAGCGAGGCTCTGAGCAGGGCCGCGGGGAACAGTGCGGGTTTGGAGGCCTCTGTGCTGCCTGAGCCCCTGCCTGGTGCCTCCAACACAAAACAGCTGGTCCTGGAAAGCAGAGAGCCTACTGCAGGGAAGTATGTGTGTGTGTCTGTGTGT